TAAAAACACTTATTCCATAGAACCAGAAGTTTAATAAATTATAGTGTTCAAGTAAAATTATCATCATTGTCTACTTATTTATATGTAGTGAAGCCAGTAAGACTTGCAATCTAAAATACTTAATACAAAGTTCTCATTACATATTTCATGCGTAGAAATATATTTGATTTTTTTATTATGTCAAATTAGCAAAATCAGTTCATTATATTTCATGAACCTGTAAAAAAAATGGACAAATATTTAAGCTTATGTTAATGCAATTTGACTACTGCCCATAAGTGAGGTTTGACCATTTCTTTTATAGTTGAGTAGTTTGAGGGAGAGACAACTATAGTTGCCTTCACCACAGGATTTACAACTTTATAATTACAGTTTACTAAACATAACTTAGATTTAGCATAAAGCCACAAGTATGAAGCACTCAATGAGGATTAAACTCACAACAAATCATCTAAAATCCCAGTTTGCTGACCATTACCTCGTGATGAAGTGATCAACCTGTCTGCAGTTTTGGCAAAAATTTTGTTCAAGGATTTTATTTGGAGAAGAAACTGAAAGGCATTTGCTGTTATCTTTAATATAATCATTAATATGGCTTGAATAGTTTAATGACACAAGACATTGTTTACAGATATCTTAAATTTTGCAAGTATCTGAATGTACATATGAAGGTTAATTCTGGGTTTGAAATACCTTCTTATCAAATATAAGCCAGGTAATATAAAACAAAAGATAGGTTAATTTTACTGACTAAATTAACTTCTTGTCTTTATAGTTTGAATTTATCCCACATTTTTTATTTAAGATCTTTACCAGTTTTCCATCTATCCCTTTTATATTGCAGAATGATCACTTGAAGTGTAGTGACATAGGCAAAATGGACTTACCCTTTTTTGCATAGAATCAAGCAACTACTAATAAGTCAGTCCTCACTCGGTACAGAAGTCAAACTTCTACGTCACTGACTAGAAGACATCAGAACATGAAGTATTAACCATATTCATAAACAGGAATTCTTCCAGCCCAGAAGAAACAGAATATTGGCTGTGGTAAACATTTTAATTTTTCTGAAGCCTTTCAAGATTTGAAAACAAACAAATCTGATGAAAGCAACAATTTCAAATGAATTTATATTACATTAGTTTCAAGATAAGTCTATGTACTTGGATATATATTAAATAATATTTTTTTACAGTTCTTTTTGGTTCTTGTTTAAAATTTCTGCACAGAATCTGATATTGTTTTTAAAACTTTCCCAAATTAAATAATAATGCATCTCAGTGTGTTTCCATACTTCAAAATACTTTCATGGAATTCGATTTTAATGTTGTTATTGTTTACTAATAAATAAAAATGTAATTGTTATTAACCAAGAGAAAATAAATTCTGACTCACTATTTTAGAAAAAAACCACTTCAAATAAGAGAAATTAGGAAACCATAAAAGGAATTATACCAAATGAAAGCCATATAATGTATGTAAATATTTCTTTTAAAATATTTACAGTTTTAAGGTTAAGAAATTTATTTAGAGGCATTTCTGCTATGCAAAATATTTTATAAACTATTTCTTCCAACACTTTAATGAGAAATTTATGAATATCTGAAGACATACGTTTCAAAACATTTCTAAAACATGACAAATTAATTTTTTCTAAATTTAAAATTGTCATTTCACTTTGAATTACTGGGATGAGGAGATCATTATTTATATGCAGACTATTGTCTTCATCTTTCGTGTTATTACATTTTGGCCTGTCCTGGGTATGATGATAAACTACATCTGCGTCCTGGATAAGACAATAAACTACATTTAACAGCAAGGCCTCTGATCAGGAGGTTTTGAGGAGCATGGAACCACCTCTTAATTGCTGGTGTTCCCAGGTCCACCTTGACCCAGGGTCGTAGCACCTGTTAGGGTCCCAGCTATGGGTAAATAGTTAAGCCCCAAACTGGGGTCAAAACACTATGAAAGTGTAAAAATAGGTTTTAATACCAGAAATACTTTGTAAAAAAAGTTATTACCAGCAATAAGTTTTTCAAGAAAAAAATTATTACAGCAATACATTTTTGAAAAAAGATATTACCAGCGATACTTTTTTGAAAAAAAAAAAAAATATTACAAGCAATACATTTTTGAAGAAAAAATATTACCAGAAATAGATTTTTGAAGGAAAATTTTAACAGCAATTCATTTAAAAAAAAAATATTACCAGCAATAAAAATTTTCTCGGCATTAAATAACCCATTAAGGTTGATATGCCACAAAACAAAACAAACAAAAATGCATTTTGGCTATTATGTCCTCTGGCCTTCATCAGGTACTTGTCGATCCAGGTAACCTTCATGGAATTTTGAACTGAACACTTTATTTAATCTACGGGGTAGATTGTTCTCATTCCACTGATCAACAGAACAGGAACAAATCAGAAAGTTAAACAGTGTAATTTAACAGTTTTCTTATAATTGAACTCATGATTGTTTATTGAAATGTCTAAAAACATACACACGCACACACACAGATCACATCAAAAATGGAAGCAGACAAAATATTTTAAAATTTGCTAAATTTGCAAGATAAAGATAGAAAAATTAAATATTTTATATTTTATGTGTTTGATAGTTTTTGTTATAATTTTTAAAAATTCTTTCAAAATAATAGAGGGTTACTTTATTTATTTTATAAAATTGCTTAAAAGAATATATCATTGTGCTGAAAATTGGTTTGAATATGTATGCTTTTTAAAATTTCTGCACAGAATCTGATATTGTTTTCAAAAATTTCCCAAAATAAACAATACTATTATATGTTAAATAATAATGCATCTCAGTGTGTTTCAAAATACCTTTATGAAATTCACCTATGTATGTATATACATTTATACATTAGGAAATATTTACTTTCTTTAATAAGTTTTAAAAAGTACAATACTCTTAAGGTTTTAGCTGGAAACTCGTAATTAAACCTGAATTATTTTGTCTCATCTTATGTTTCAGATCTTGCAAATACCAATAATTAATCTTTCCATAAGCTCAAACAAGGACAGTTTACAGTTTTTATTATAGATTCAGATTCTTGTATAAGAAAGTGTTTTCATGACCCAACACCCCTGAACATTCAAGGCTCTGACACACACATGCACACAAATACTGATACCTTATATTTCTAGTTGGACACTGAGACAGACCCCTCACACTGGGATGGTCCTGACCAAATTGGAACATATGGTAAGCCTATCAATAAGTTTTAGAAATATTGGATTACACTTAGAAAAATAAAAATATTCCAAACTTTTGAAAACTTATTTAGATTGCATCATATGTAATGTCCTGGTTATTCATAAATATTGGTTACACTTAAATAGATATAATTGATTTTTACTTAATATTTTTTTTATATCTGTTGGTTTGTTTACAAAACTTATTTTCTTGAAAACATTATTTTTTACTAATTTATACTGTCATTCTTTATAATTATTTCTTAACAATATAATACAAATCTGTTTTTACCTTTTCCTTTTCTCAAAGATGTACAGTCAGAATCTATCCATTCCTCCCAGCTATTTTTGGCAATTTGAGATATGCTGTACCATCTCAATTTGAAACTGAGTGATTGGAAAAAGGTCTTTTCAAAAGGTAAGTTCTATAAAACAAATTGCCGTTATCTACAAAGATATGTTTTTTTAGATATATTTACATTTTTCCTGTTAGATTTAGTGTAAGAAATTATTGAATATTAACATTTATTTTGATGTTGTTGTTAAAGAAAATGATTTAATTTGCAGTTATAACTTCAAATATTTAAATTAGACAAATACATTTCATGTATGTTTGCTGTTTCATAACTTTCATATACAATGAACATGTGTCTTAAGGGAAAAGTGATGTAATTGTTAGTTACTAGCCACATCACTTTCATAAAATTAGTTCTTATTTGATTTTCTTCAACAGTACTGCATTCCTTCTTAATAATTATATATTATGTATTCATAATCAATGCTGGTAAAATGCATTTTGAAAGGCGTCCAACCTTCACAACTAATCTCTCTACATTTGGTTATTCTCGAGCTATTATTTCTGTCCATCATATTGAACTAAACCAACTTAAGCATAAGGCCTGATTTATGAAGCACACAGTGGTGACATTCTCTCACTAGCAGGTGTAATGTATTACAACTTGTGAAAAGCTAACACAACAGGGATACCGATTTAGGATACTGTAAGAAAACATGTACACAAATTCAAGGCATTTACCAAGCATTAGGGTATGCCTGAAGTTTTCTGATTCCTATATCCAGCACCTGTGCAATCTTTATTAGCAAAGGAACCTCTGGTTCTGCAAACCAATGATGTCACTAAATCATAGTGATATTTAGCTACCCCCACCCACGAGGGTTACATGTGGCACAAGGCCGGGTTTAATGTGGGATCTCCGAGCCCATAGGCTTGGCCAAAAATATTCCCTCTTTGAACCTGCATAAAACGGGTTCAGGGGCAGTCAACTACCCCGAATGAGACTCTGCCCTTCGACGGAGTCTCGTCTGGGTTCCTCTCCGCCCGAAGGCAGAGAGTTAGACTGTTAGCCAAGTTAGTGACTAAAGAAACTAACATCCTAACAATTTCTCTGTGGAAAGTGCTCTTTTTGATTGCTGGTCTAAAGAAAAAAATAGACATTCTGCTCCAAAATATGACCCATCTCACTCACTGTATTTTAAGTTAAGATGAATACATTAACATCAGCAAGACCAGTATATTAACAACCAATTCTCTCTACTTGTATAGATTTAATTTCTATTGTTATGCTACTAATGAATGTTAGAACAGATTTGGGGCTTCAGCAAAGAATTGGAGAGGAAACAGAAATATTGGTAATAAAGACCTCTAAAAGTATAGACAACAAAAAGCTAGTAGAGACTGTCCCCCTTTAATATAATAAAAAGACTTACAGTAGAAACAGACTGAGCTACCATGACCAATTTAATTTTTTTTTTCTGTCAAAAGACTCACTCTCTTTGCACTTTCTTTCCTTGTTCTTTCTCTACTCAGTACAAGAAGATTAGCTTCTTTTTGGTATTACTGCTCACTTCAATTTCTTCATTGCTATCTATCTATATCTCTGAGATGAGGTATTATGATTTCTTACATTATTTGGACTATTATCCTCATCTTCATTGCCACAACATTTTGGCCGTCCTTCCAGCCTTCTTCAGGTGATTGGAATTTCGAGCCGAACCCTTTATTTCGTCCACTGGGGTAGATTGTTCTGGATCCACATGCCATGCCTCTTCTGGATGTCTCAGTTACTTCCCTTTGACTCAATTCTCCTAGTATGGCTTAGTATTGAACTCACAACTCTTTGGGTCTAGTCACAGCCGTCTTTATCCACTGGGCCAAAATAAGGGGTTCTGTTCAGTTCGAAATCCCAATCACCAAGTGTACAATGGCTGAAACGCTGTGAATATGGCAATGTGAATGTAAGTAATTCTTCATTGCCTTGTTGATTTTTCATTTTCAGCTTTTTTCCTCATAGCTTTTATTTATCTCAGGGACTTTGGTGATAAACTGATCATGCTATTTTTAACGTGTTGTTGCCAGTGTTTTTTTTTGGGGGGGGGATGTCACTTGTTTCTCCCTTGGTCCTTAAAATTGTAAATAGTAAAGGATAATCCACTCTTAAATCTAAAGGATAATCCACTCTTGGTACTCTACAGAACATGTCCTTTTAATGGTGTGTGGTGTGTTTATTTTTTTTTAAATATATATCCTATTGAATTCTTTTCTTTGGTTTTATGGTAAAAGCACTTATCCTTTCTTTATATTTTAAATCTGCTTTCTTCTAAGTCTTCCTCCCAGATTGGACAATTTCAGTAAAAGTGTTAGTCTGGCCCGTGTCCACAATCCAGAAATCTTGTAGAAATAAACATCAAACACAATTCCACTATCTACTGTACTCCATGTTAGTCTTTGAACTTGTTTCATACAATATTTCATTGCTTATCTAATTTGCAAACCAAGTAAAATGAAATACATAAGTGCAGCTAATTTAATTACTTAGACAATAATTTTTCTTATTCTACTGGGAAGATATGTAATGGTTCCATGAGTAGATAAAATTTAATTCACTTTTGTATTACAATGAAAAAATATTAATAAAATTTAAATCTTTTCACTAAACAGGAATCAGCTGTTTAGAATTTGTTTGCTTTATAACATTTCAATATGCCTTTTAAATTAATAACATTTTTATGTTTTCATAAAATAATGTTCTAATATTATTTATTTATTATTTTTCATATCCATTAAAACAAGCTTATTTCATTTTTGTTATGTATCTTTGGTTAGTTTTTAAAAACATTGTTTTAAAATCTTTAAAAACTTATTCAGGAAAGATAGAGGGAAGAGAGAAACTTTTGAAGGAGGAATAGCTGTTCTTAAATATTGCATTGTGGGAGTTAAGAAAATTAAATATCTTATTAAATAAAATTGAATACATTTAAAATAATTTTTATCTTAGTATTTTTAACTATTAAGATCAAATTTTAAAATAATTTCAATTTTTAAGACCCTGAAATTCTTGTCGTTTTCTATGTGAAATTCATCATGAGGTGATTGGTTGTGTTGGCAGCCATTATACACACATTCTATATATTAGGACTGCAAACTTCTTTTTGCTTTCACAGCCTCTCTCTCACACACACACACACACACACACACACACACACACAATTATTACCCTGCACAACATTATCAGCAGCAAGACCAAAATGTAGTTCCTAGAACACAACACAACACAATTACTGTTTTATTTTACCACAAAGGTAAGAATAGCTTTGCTTTTCTTCATCAAGATTACTAAAACTGTGTTCTGATTCATAAATGTCTATTTCTTCTTGATATATTTTCTTATTACTTACACATATTTCACTGCTTATTGACTATCTAATGCATCTCCATGTCTTTGTGCATTGAATGACATCATTTTACTCTATAAAACCACTCCTCAAAAATATGGACTCTATAGTTATGAACAATTAAAACTTTTCAGGTTATTTTTTTTTGTCTTTTAAGTGACAGGTTCTTTCCAAAATCTTAATAAAACTCTTTTAAAGTAGCTGTTTGGGTATATGTTTCTTTTACATTTCCTTTTGATATTCTTTGCCTTCATATTTAAACTCACTCTCTTTTTGTGAGACTAGATTTGTTAGACTAGAATCGAAATTCTACTTATTTTTCTTTTCATTAATGCATTATTTAAATATTTTTCATTGTTTTAAAACTGGATTTTATATAGAGTTCAGTCCTTAGAAATATTAATTTTTATTCTTTTTAAATTTATATCTCATTCTACAAGAGTTTTTTATTGTAACCTATAAAATACATATTTGTACTAAATTTGATTTTATGAATTGTTCACTTTATTGTTTTAGAAACTACTGAATATATAAATCTTAAATTACTGTAATTTTCTTTTTAATTGGTTACTTTTATTATAAGAATAATCAATGTTTGAAGAGTTATTAAAAATATTATTGAATTGTGTATTTTTTCATTGCTTTTCAAGTATATGCTCTCATGAATGTATTAATATTCAGTAAATGATATTTTTTGATTTTAGTAAGAAATTAATTTTGCAAAAACACACTCTTATTAAATATATCCATTGCATACTACCTTGTTTCAAGATAAAATTCTTTTATTTAAATCATGGAAATATTTTTAATTGTATTTCACTTTTCTTTTTCATGATTTGAAATTTCCTCATTAACTAACATGATGTGTGGATAGCCCATTTCTGTTTGTTTATGCACTTAAAAAACCTCATGTTTAATCAGAAAAAATGTTTTTAAGTAATATAGTCTACAAACATTTACTTTTTTTAAAGTTCTTATAAGAAAAGGCGGGAAATAATATTAGTATGAGTTTAATATCTTTTTGACAATAAATTAACAATCGAATTAACCAATTACTTAATACTTAAATTGATTTATCTCAAATAAACTTTTTAATTTTTCAGGTTTACATCTCTACATACATCACCCATTGAATTTCACAATGCTTGACTACAGACATTCAATCCAACTGATTTTAATTTCTCTGCTGCTTAGTGTTCTTCAAATCACTTTGTGTATTGACTTAACCTATAAAGTGGATGAGGGCAAAAGTCCGGGTACCTATGTGGGAGACATTGCTGTTGACTCCAAAATTATGAACACTGTCCCTACACAAAATCACAATCTGGTGACATTTAGCCAACTCCAAAAAGGAGTGGCAGGGAGTCCTCACTTTTTTCGAATCGGCAAAAAGACTGGTAAACTCTACACTGCAGAAACTCTTGATGCTGAAAAATTATGTAAATATAACAAGGAATGTTTCCAAATTGTGGATGTAGCTGTTCAAAAGGCCGCTTCTACTATCAAAATATTAGAGATCAAAGTAGTTATAATTGATGTCAATGATCATCAACCCCAGTTTCCTGACAAACAAGTCAGCATAAAATTTTCAGAAGAATTTCCAAAAGGAGCTGCAAGACCAATTCCCAATGCAGTTGATAAAGATGTTGGAGTTATTAATTCACAGATTACTTATGAGATAAAAAAGTATAAAGATGAACCATTTAAATTATTAGTCTCTAAATATATTGATGGAACATCAAAATTAGAAGTAATTCTACAAGAAAAACTTGACAGAGAAGTAAAGGATTCATATTTGATTCAGATAATAGCTAAAGATGGAGGGTCTCCACTGAAACAAAGTATCCTAAATGTTCATATCTTAGTGACAGATATCAATGACAATACACCAATTTTCTCACAGAATGTTTATAATATTTCTATAAGAAATGAACCAAGTGAAACATTGCCAATACTTATTTTATCTGTCAAGGATTTGGATTTAGGCAATAATGGCAAAGTTACTTATGATTTTAGTTCCAAGACATCAGAAATGGCAAAATTACATTTCAGATTAAATAAGGATGATGGAAAAATCTTCTTGCATAAAATGTTCATTTTTCCACAAACACTAATTCACGACTTATATGTAGAAGCAAAAGATGGAGGTAGCCCGCCATTAAGTTCTATTACAAAGGTTCAAGTACAACTGATCAGTCCAAAAAACAATGTCCCAACAATTGCTGTGAACTTTGTTTCATCAACAAAAGAAAAGACGGTTAATATTTATGAAAACATTCTCATAGGAAATTTCATTGCATATGTGAAAGTTACTGACAATGATGAAGGACAAAATGGAGAAGTAAAATGTGATCTTCACCATGAGAAATTTCAGCTTCAAAGCCTGGGTCCAAAGAAATATGAAGTAATAGTAAAACAACGTGTAGATAGAGAGAAAGAAGAGCACTATGATGTTGTGATTAGTTGTCAAGACAAAGGCTCTCCACCTTTACATGCAAATAGTAAGTTCTCCATTCAGGTGATGGATATCAATGATGTTAAGCCACAATTTACAAAAGACACATTTAAATTCTTGATTGATGAAAATGAAAACTCAAGAATTACTGTTGGCTACATCAATGCCACTGACCCAGACTTGGGAGCTGGAGGAAAACTTACATATTCTCTGATCACCAATAATAAACACTTCTTACCTTTCAAAATAAGTCCAAATGGATTATTATCAGCAATTATGTCCCTTGATCATGAGTTTCAAGATACTTATGAGTTCCAGGTATTTGTCAAAGATAATGGAACACCATCTCTGAATAATACAGTCAATGTGATTGTTGAGGTAACTGATAAAAATGATAATGCTCCATATTTTACATTTCCCAGTATTAAACCTTACAATCTGGATGTGACATATTATCCACATCATAGCAAGAACATCAGCCAAATCAAGGCATCAGATAGTGATAGTCAAGAGAATGCATTTCTAAAATATGAAATAATCAGAGGCAATGATAAACAGATATTCAGCATGAACCAGTACACTGGTTTGTTAGCTTTCAATCGCCAACTGAGTCCAGAAAATGCTGGTTCCTATCAGCTGGACATTGTGGTCAAGGATAGTGGTAGCCCAGTTCTATCAGCAACAACTACTCTGTTTTTAACATTGACTATCAGCAACAAGACATCCCAAATGTTAAATGTTATTGAGCTAGAAAGTGAAGAGAAGGTGCATCTTAATCTGGTCATTATTATTACAGTGATAGCAGTGACAATAGCTGTGTTCATAACAGCTTCATTATCAATCTGCATCATTCGATGTAATGGTCAGTCCAATGTAGCCTATGCACAACCACTTGATCCTTCCAACAGATATATTGGTGAACAGAGACACCTGATTGCTCCATCTCACCACGGGAACTCTTGGCCTCAGCCTGCTCATTCAGTGCCAAATGACCAGACTTTGCCTATGAATACTCCTCTTGCAGGATCAAGGAGACAACTTACTGTTGGTCAGAAGCCTGATTGTTCTTATGTACCATCCCAGGTAAGTTTGCATTAACTTTTTATTAATTTAAGAAATGTCCAATATTATGTTATTTTAATAATGCTTTCATATCTTCTTTCTTATGTTACTGTAAATATTTTCATACAATTTCTTTTCTAAATGATTAATATATATTGGTTATGACTTAAAATTCATCCCATCATTAGTATTATATTGGTCATTTAATTAAAAAAGAACTTTACACAATTTCTTTACAATATTCCTGCTGTCTTTATTGAAAATATATAATTGTTTTACCTCTTCTGTAATCTATTTCTACTTATTTAAGAAATCTAATACTAGTTTTGGATGTCAGAATTTTTGCCGAAACACTTTAAAAATCTATACATGTTGGATAATGGTGACTTTAAAGTTTTCATTTTAAAAAATCAGCTAATTTATTACTAGGATTTTAATTTTAACTTTTGGAATTTACTGTGTAAATACTTTTAAAATTACTTAGATGGGTGTTGTGTTTACAATTTCATTACAAATGTAGTCAAATTATTTCATTAAAATAATTTTTTTCTAAAACAATTTTTAATATTCCCTATTTATTCAATATGATTACTTGTTTTGTTTTGTTTTTTTTTACTCCATTTTCAAATACTGTATTTTTGAAGTTCATTTATTTTGGATTGTAAAACTAATATTCTATTTTGAATAGATGTATGCACAAAATGTGTCAATTCCTCCTGATTATTTTGGAGATTGGAGATCTACTATACCTCCTCAAGCCAGAAATGGACATGACTTAAGAGAAGAGGACAATGAATCTTGTTTAAAAGGTGAGATTGGGAAAGATTGCTCACATGTAAAAAGGTTCTTTACATGTAGATATTTATTGAGCTTACCTTTGTCTGGCATAAGGCCAAAGCGGTGAGACATCAAGTGAAAACTGGATACAAGATTAGCTTGTGTATCATTGTTCTATGGCATGTGTCCAAACATTCTTTGCTATGATTAGTGATTTTTAAAAAATTAACTTTTGTAATTTTTACATTTAGAAATTGATCGCTGTCAGCAAATATATAATAATATCTTCATTTTTTTATTTCACTTATTAACTAATTTGGCCATCTCTGAAGGAGTATATTTTACTGATGAAATACTTGTGCATCAAATACATTCTTGTATTCAGATTGTGTATTGTTTATTCATTCTTTGGACTATAACTGATTTTTTTTATCATTATTATATATATATATATATATATATATATGTGTGTGTGTGAAGAAAAATATACAGAAAAAACAAACAAAAATCTTAATATGCAATTATGCTGTATTAATGTTAATATAAAGTCAACGTCGGACGTTTCGGTCTATTTAAGACCATCTTCAGGACCTTTTCATTTAAACATAATTAACATTAGAACACATAAAAATTCAACACGAAAAGACGATGGTCTTAAATAGACCGGAACGTCCGACGTTGACTTTATATTAACATTAATACAGTATAATTGCATATTAAGATTTTTGTTTGTTTTTTCTGTATATTTTTCTTCATACTGTCGAATCTATATCCATATATTTGCTTACATACATATATATATATATATATATATATATATGTGTGTGTGTGTGTGTGTACACTATTATAATAATTTATTTATTTGTTTTCCAGATTTTATCTCTTCCAAATCCTCTACAAATTCAAACCATTTTAACAAAAGTGACATTTCTGGTCCATATCCACAGTCCAGAAATCTGGTAGAAATAAACCAACAGACTTCAAATACAAGACCTTTACCACCAGTACCTCACATGAACCAGTAAATATACAAGGAGATGCTGAAAAATTATTGGCCAGACTGTTTCCAAAATCTGACCATGTTTTAAAAAAATTTTTAAATCCCTTTTTGGTTGGGCTGAGAACTTTTCAGCACTCACCTGTATTCTCTCTTTGTATAACATACATTTTTTTTTATACCAACAAAATATTAACATTTCTAAGCATTACATTTATAAACATTAATCACATAAATTCCTGTCTATAGTAATCTATCTACATCTCTCTACATTTAAATAGTAGTTTAAAATTTATAAAGTAATTAAAATTTTTCAGCAAACATTAATTGTTCTGTTGATAAACATAACATATATCAGTATTATTTCTATTGTTTCAGTCATTGTCATTTTAAAAATTATCTTTAACAAATACAAATAATAAATAACATCTTTATGCAGAAATCTCATTTAGCATGGATAGAGAGAGGAAACTAGATTCTGAAGGAAGAATAGGAATGTTTTCCTTTGCATTGTGGGAGAGAAGAATTTGGTGAGCTCATTTGTTTTACTCAATTATTTGATTTAATTCTGATTATTTTCCTTTAATTGTTGTTAAACAAAGTATTTTTATATAAAATCAATGATAACATTAAGTATATTATTTTTGTGTTAAGAAAGTAGATTTTAGTATTCAGCTTTATGAGTTCGTTTGCAAGTAGGGCAGCCATTAAACACACATCATACTTACTAGGACTACTTCTCCCTATCTTCTCAGTACATACACATTCACATATATACTCATTTGCCTTTATTCACACACTTCTTTCTCACCCATATAAATTTTAGTACAAAACAAAGTCTTTATAGAAAACACAACTTGTAGACAGCAGTGGATCAGATAATAAAGGTAAGTGTTTTCACTTTTTATATTTGGTTTTTCCTAAAATCTTTAGCATGAATTTTTTTCATCTACATTCATAATTCTTTATACGACGTTTTGGTAGTTAGTCTCTTTTTGTCCTAGTTAACTATATGAGGATATACAATTATACTTTTTATTAAAATGTTCTAACATTATCATTGATGAGAACCACTTTTTCAGTTTTATTATTTTAATATTATCATAAAGCAATAGCAACATTAACCACATTTTTTTTTCTGTTAGATGTACACATATTTCTTCCTTAATGGAACTGAGGTTCATTTTCTGAACTTGTTTGTCTTCCATGTTTAATTTTTGTTTGCTCTGTGAGAATTGATATAATTAGTTAAAACATCTTATATTCTTGTTTGTTTGTTGTTTTTTTTTGGGGGGGGGAATTGTTCTGTTTTTGTCTCTTTAAGTTTATTTATTTATATTTTGTGAAAAGTTTCTTTATCCCTTAGCAGATCATTTTTTCCACCCATCTTTTTCTCTTGGAGCACTTTTTTTTTTATATAAATTAAGAATATATAAGAATCATGATTTTTTTTTTTTTTTTTTTTGCTTAAAAACATACTCCCTTCTAGATTAAAATCGGATAACTTATGCACCAAAATTATATATTCTATCTTTTTATCTGCTACATCCCTTAAGAATGAGGGTGATCATCTACAAATTCTTGTCTTTTGTTGCTCTAGGTAACATTTTATCCTTTACTATCCATATTTGTCCATGTTTTGACATCTATTCACACTGACCTCATTAAGTAGGGTAATTTCCCTTACTTTCCTTCCATACATCTTGCGAGTGTTAAACTCTCCAGACCCACACTTTTCATTATGTGTCCCAGAAATTTCAATTGTCTCTTTCTGATTGTAAATATAAGTTTCCATGTATACTGTATATAACATTTAAAATTCTCTAAATATATAGTATAAACATGCATAATTTTCAAAATTTAATTCCATAAAGCTAGAGTACAGTTGTGTGTGTGATATAATATATATATATATATACACACACACGCACACACAGAAGCTTTGCTAGCAAGTGGAGAATAATTTATCCACTTTATAGACGCACTAATAACTACAGATAGAGCTAAAAATGTAAACTGATTAATGCTACTGATTTAATAAAATTGGTGTAAGAAGCTAATGGTAAACTCACTCTTGCACTAAAACGTTGCAGAAAGCTCAAATATCTTTGGTTCACTCAAAAATTAAAACTTACTTATAAATTGAGGTTGTACTAAAAAAGATAAAACGTGAAAAACACCTACATTTTTGATAATCCATTAAAGGTTATTTTATTTTAACCTTATTTTCTTGTAATTTTGAATCATAACTTCTATTTTACAAATAAGAACTGGACAATTTCGCCATATACTTGTTTTTATGTAAAATTAAACTTTTTTTGTTCATATTCATAATATTTTTTTGTGTTACATTAGCACTGGGATTTCCAGTCTTTTGCTTAATATGAAGCATTATTTCATGTTTTTAGCTTCTAAATAATTCTTGTCAACAAAATTGATATAAAAGTTATGTCCCTTTATATCAGGAGTTAATTTTTATATTTTCTTCAAATGACATCTATATCAACATTAATACACAATTGTACATACATGATTCTTCTTACACTAGCATTTATAACTATATTTGAAAATATATTTTGTTATATTGTGAATGTATTTCTGTCATTATTGAATATAATAAAGACTGTCATATATTTCTGGAATAATTTAATATTTGCTCTAAAATCATTTAGCAAAACTGAAATATTACTTCAAGATAATGGAGAACATATTTTATTATTCTAAAGTAATTCTACTGGAATTTTTAAATCATCTTTATATATTGCTCTTCATAAGGTAATAATAAACCAAATATATGGGATATAAAATAATTTTATTCTTTAAATAAAAACAAAAAAAACTAAACTTTAAGATTCATTTATTTTAGTATCTGTCTATATTTCTGAGATGAGGTATTATGTACATTATTTACATTATTCGGACTATTGTCCTCATCTTTGTCGCCGTTGTATGTTCTGGCCTTCTTCAGGTGGTTGGAATGTCAAACTGAACCCTTTATTTCGCTCACTGGGGTAGACTGTTCTAGTTCTACGTGCCAGGTTTAATGGATGTCAGTTATCAGTTATCTCCTGTTAATTTCCCTCTGAAAGTTCTCCACTGCCTTAACTGGGTATTGAACTCACACTCTTTGGGTCTTGTCACTAGATCTAACCAACGCCTTTATCCACTGTGCCATATGTCCTTGAGATAACTGACATCCATTAAACCTGGCATGTGGAACTAGAACAGTCTACCCCAGTGAGCAAAATAAAGGGTTCAGTTTGACATTCCAACCACCTGAAGAAGGCCGGAGCGTACAACGGCTGAAACGTTGTAATAAATATGGCGACAAAGATGAGGACAATAGTCCAAATAATATAAATAATGTTCATTTATTTTAGTTTCTACTTCCTTAGTAACTTTATACATTAGCCTTATTCAGTTGCTTTATAAGATAATTTTATACTTCCTCCCCAGTGTCAAGGGTCAGGATATGAACTCTGGTATACAAGGTGATTTTATACAGTGATTTAAAAGACAAATATGCTTTCCAACTTAGAAGATTGGCATTACACAATCTTTCTATTTCTATTTATCTTGTGTGGCCTTCTGCTGTTGTAACCTAATGGAAAATGCATTTTTAATTGTGAATTTGGTATTAATTTTTGAAAAAATATTTTACCAATATCATATGACATTTTAAATTTATTGTTATAATTTTCAGCAATTAAAATAAAATCCAACCAAAGACTTATGGATTTATCTACCTGCCAGTTAAATAAAATATACTTGAAGATGCTAATTCAGATCTACATTTTAATATCAATGATGCAAAGATGTTTGTGTGCAGACATCACATACACTGTCAGTGAAGGGAAGAGCCCTGGCACTTATATAGGAAATATTGCAGCTGATTCAGAAATTGCAAGAGATCAGGATTTAGATCTAATCACATTCAGCCAATTGCAGCAAAGCAATTCTGGAAGTTCTGTCTTATTCCGTGTAACAAAAAAGACTGGGAAATTGTATACAATGGAAACACTTGACGCTGAAACCATATGTAAGCGCAATAAAGAATGCTTCCAAATATTGGATATAGCCATTCAGAAAAAGCTTTCCACCATCAAAATATTAGAAATTAAAGTTATTATCAAAGATGTGAATGATCATCAACCAGAGTTTCCTCATAAGCAAGTTAGTATTAAGTTTGAAGAAAATGATATCCCAGGAACTAAAATATTAATTCCGAATGCTGTGGATAAAGATGTTGGGATTATTAATTCACAAATTACTTATGAACTGAAAAAATATAAAGATGAACCATTTTCATTACTTGTATCCAAAAATGTTGATGGAACATCTAAGTTAGAAGTGATCTTAGAAGAAAGACTTGACAGGGAAGTAAAAGATTCCTACTTGATTCAAGTGGTTGCAAAAGATGGAGGCTCACCATCCAAACAAACTGTTTTACATGTTCACATCTCAGTGGTAGATGTCAATGACAATTCACCTGTATTTTCTCACAAAGTCTATAATGTTTCTATCAAGAATGAACCAAGTGAAACAGTACCAATTATTGCAGTTATTGCCAAAGATTTGGATTCTGGTAAAAATGGAAAAATATCTTACACATTTAGTTCCCAAACACCTGATAATGCTCAGAATTTCTTTAGATTGAATAAAGAAACAGGAGAATTATTTTTGTATACTATGTTTGAGCTTGGACAAGAGTTAGTACATAATTTATATGTAGAAGCAAAAGATGGCGGTACACCCCCTCTGAGTTCCATTGTAAAAATTATCATTATTGTGATTAATCGACAAAACAATGTGCCAATCATCAAAATAAACTTTGCCTCTACTTCAAAAGAGAACACAGTTGATATTCCTGAAGATATTAAAGTTGGAAATTTTATTGCTTATGTCAAAGTTATAGACCATGATGAAGGGAAAAAAGGAGAAGTCAGCTGTTATATTCACCATGATAAATTCCAGCTTCAGAATTTAGGTACAAAGAAATATGAAGTGACACTGAAAAATCCTCTGGACAGAGAGAAAGAAGAACACCATGATGTTGTGATCAGTTGCCAAGATAAAGGATCTCCTCCTCTTCATAGTAACAGCAAATTCTCCATTCAAGTGATGGATATCAATGATGTTAAGCCACAATTTACAAAAGATACATTTAAATTCTTGATTGATGAAAATGAAAACTCAAGAATTACTGTTGGCTACATCAATGCCACTGACCCAGACTTGGGAGCTGGAGGAAAACTTACATATTCTCTGATCACCAATAATAAACACTTCTTACCTTTCAAAATAAGTCCAAATGGATTATTATCAGCAATTATGTCCCTTGATCATGAGTTTCAAGATACTTATGAGTTCCAGGTATTTGTCAAAGATAATGGAACACCATCTTTGAATAATACAGTCAATGTGATTGTTGAGGTAACTGATAAAATGATAATGCTCCATATTTTACATTTCCCAGTATTAAACCTTACAATCTGGATGTGACATATTACCCACATCATAGCAAGAACATCAGCCAAATCAAGGCATCAGATAGTGATAGTCAAGAGAATGCATTTCTAAAATATGAAATAACCAGAGGCAATGATAAACAGATATTCAGCATGAACCAGTACACTGGTTTGTTAGCTTTCAATCGCCAACTGAGTCCAGAAAATGCTGGTTCCTATCAGCTGGACATTGTGGTCAAGGATAGTGGTAGCCCAATTCTATCAGCAACAACTACTCTGTTTTTAACATTGACTATCAGCAACAAGACATCCCAAATGTTAAATGTTATTGAGCTAGAAAGTGAAGAGAAGGTGCATCTTAATCTGGTCATTATTATTACAGTGATAGCAGTGACAATAGCTGTGTTCATAACAGCTTCATTATCAATTTGCATCATTCGATGTAATGGTCAGTCAAATATGGCCTATGCACAACCACTTGATATTTCCAACCAATATCCTAGTGAACAGAGACACTTGATTGGTCCCTCTTACCAGAGAGGCTCTTGGCCTCGCCCTGCTCATCCTTTGGCAACAACCCATACTCTGGTCAGGAATACTCCATTGACAGGATCAAGAAGACAAGCTGCTACTTGTCAGAAATCAGGAGGACCTAATGAGGTAATCATTGCAAAATGTATTTTTCTATAATTTTACATTTTTATATTATTTATTTTTGTACAATTTATGTTTCTTAAAAATGAAATTTTCATGGTTTAAAAAAAGGTTATTATTGTATAATTGTATTAAAGTCTTTTTAATTTACCTTTCTTATGGTATTAATTTTTTTCTTACTAAATGTTTTTGTTCTATTGAAGAATTATTGTCATAAACTTATGTATTGTATTTTTCATATAATTTAATAATTATGTCTAGAACAACCTCTATATTTCTATATATTAAATGTACATATATTTCACACTTTAAGATATTCTCTTCTATAAATCTGTAGAGAATGTTTCTGTGGCCTAATTTGATATCTTTCGTATTTTAAAATATGTTTTTAAAAACAGATGTACACACAAAATGTTTCAATACCACCCGACTATTTTGGAGACTGGAGATCTAACATGCCTTGTCAGCCTGAAGATGGAAACAGTTGGAACAGAAATGAATCGGTGAATGGTTCAGAAGGCAAAAGTAAGTTATATAGAGCATTGATCAAAAGGTTATTATCATTGGAGAAGTAGTAAATTTAAATATTCCACCTGTATTGTTGGAAAGTGATTATATATGATATATATTTAAATTATATATTGATATGCTGGCTATATGTTTAACTATTTTTTGAAAGTAAAATGCTAATGTTTGAATCAACAAAGTTTTAAATTTTAAGTGGTTTTATTTAAGCTTTTACACTGTTCACATTAATTTACTTGTGTTGTTAATGAATACAGTAATTTTGTTTCATTTGCTCTTTGTTAATAAATTATACATTTTTAAGAGATCTTAATTTACCTTAATTCAACTTTCATTGTTTGCACTTTATTTTTTTTTACTTAGTGTTTGAGTATAACATTAAATCTTTTACAGTTTGAAATAAAACATTTTCACTTGAAGTATTGAAATTCTGGCTACTTTTTATATTTTATTGAAGTTTTTGGAAAGATGAACAAAAAATTAACGAAGAAAATCTGTCAAAATATTAAAGCAATTTAAGAAACCTTTCTATTTTTTAGAGCAATAAACTAAAGTAAATTTTTTAACTTAATGAACATTTCATATCTTCCATCTAAAAGAACTGTTACTTTACAGAAACTGAAAAGTCATTACTTAGTTAATTGTTAATTTTAATTTATCAGATATACTCACTGCCTATTATATACAGGGTGTCCCCCTCCAAAATTGACATCATTTAAAATGTGAATATCTGAGTAACTATATGTCCCAGGCAATAAAAGATTTAGTTATCAAAATTCGAACAACATATTCAAAGGGATGTAGATTTTATAACCAATCACAAATGTTCAATATGCGTACCACCTGTGACACAACACACACCAAGTTGGTATTCCAGCTACTGCAAAAAAAACTGTAGCATGTCTTGTGTAACATTCTTCAGTGCTTCAGTAATTCTCTGCTTAAGTTCTTGTAGAAAGAGGGGGATATAGACCTGTACTTTCACTTCGCCCCATAGAAAAATATCACAAAATGTCAAGTCAGGTGAATGTGGTGACCATTTCAATAACGCATTGTCATTATCACTGGCATGCCTGATCCATCTTCCTAGCAGATTTTCATTGAGATAAATCCACGCAGTCAACTTCATTTTTACACAATTTGTTAAAATCTGAGATCATTTGAGTGAGAATTGGCTATGTTATTAGTCTACAAAATTATGTCAGTTTTGGTGGGGACGCCTTATATATAACAATCCACTGTTATTATTATTACAATTTGTAGTTGGAAAGGTTATTCCATTTCTCAAATGAAAAAAGAAAACACTTCATGATTTTTTAAGTTAATCAATGTTTACTTTGTTCTAATTGATGATTTCTTTCGTTTTTCTTCAGACCTACTCCCTTCCAAATCTTTGTCTCAATCTGCACACCTCAGCAAAAATGATATTTCTGCTCCATATCCACAATCCAGAAATCTTATTGAAATGAACAATGAACAGTCTTCTAACTCAAGGCCATTACCTCCAGTGCCAGATAACCAGTGAATATATTCTATATAATTCTATAAAAAAAAAAAAAGTTATTTATAAATAAATTATTGTTTCAACAATAATATTTTTTAAATTAAAATATGGTTTTGCTATAAACACTGGTTTAACCTTTACAATAAAATGGTATAACTATATTAATCTTAACTTGAAATCATATTGATAAAATGTAATTTTATGCATCAAATTAAATCAGTTTCATTAGAGAAAGCAGTCAAAATATATGAGTTATAATTGCTGTTGTGTAAGAAATTTATGCATAATATTGATGATCAAATATAACCATTCAATAATTTGTCAGTTTCAAATCTGAAAATCTGATAGCTTTTTCTAAAAAATCTTACACAAATCAATACTAAACTTTTATTATTTACCTACATGACAAAAAAATCAATATTTTAAGGATGCACAAAAGCAAAACTTGCTGTTAAAAAAAATTAAATAAAAAATGAATTTGAAAAAGAATGTAATTCTTGAAGAATAAATAACTTTGTTTTCTGTTGCTTTATGGTAAAATGTAATTATGAAGGTTAACTATTTCACACCATCAAAATTAATGTAAATCTTATGAATTTAGATTTTTTTTATTTCATCATTCAAATGCTTACATTTGCATAAATATTGACATAAAAGTTTTCAAAATAAATTTTATATATATATATATATATATATATATATATATATATATATATATGATAGTATTTTTCTTTTTTAATAAGAATTATATTAATTATTATGTTGGTGAGGAAAAAGTCATTACATGTAAAACTTACTAGGACCATTTTCTTCTCCTCCCCTGCTTTCTCCCTCCCTCACTCTCTCACACACACACACACACACAGTATCTATAACCAGAAGAATTTTCACTTGGGGACTTTATTCTGGAAACAGAAATGAAGTTAACAATAAAGGTAATTTTTTTAAAATTCCTCTATGTATTTTCAATTGGTTTTACATTTTAATTCAGATCAACATGCTTCAGCCTAGTTACTTTTATGTTTCTTATGCATTTCTCCTAACACTACTGCCTCCATGTTTCAAATTCTTTCAGTATGTAAAATCAGATCTTGCCTTTTAATGTTGGATAGAAAATGACATTTGATTTTGTTATGGAATTACTTTTCTGAATAAATGCAAACAGGAAACTTTTCTTAGCTGACGCATTTTACCCTCTGATGAACTTCATCTAGGCAAATATAAGGGTTTTTTTATTTTTTTTGCAACAAATATTTATAAACAGAAGTAAAAATGTTGTTAGCTTTTCAAAAATTTTAAATTGAAGAACTCTCATAAATATACTTCAGGCTAACTGAAAGTCAAAGTAAACTATGGGGGATGCAAAACGATGTAAATTAATATCTAATAAACAACAGTGAGTAACTTGTTGAATTTTTTTTTATAATATAATTATTTATTTTAGTTAGTTTGAGAAATTATGCATTTATATAATTTAAGTAATAAAAGGTTTTAAATTTAACCGTTTTCTTTTAATGTAAAAAAAGATTTTATAGTCATGTGTGTTGGCTTGGGAATTACTTTTATATAGAACCAATTTTTAATTTACAAAAAATATTTATAAAGATAATATTTTTCCACTTTCATTTAATACTTTAAAGGAAACATATTGCACTAAATTGTTTTTAACAACTGCTTCTGAAATGAGGGAAGATATTTAAACCAAATTTTAAGCCTTTTTTGATAATGCTTGAAAATATTTTCATGTTAATGTTATATTTTCTTAAAAAAATGGTTCAAATAAAATAAACTCCAGAAGGCTTAATAATTCATATCTACATTTATTATTTTACACTATCTACATTTTAAATAATAATAATATAGACAACTTTATTATTTTACTTCTAATATTATTTTATTATTTTGATTTTTAAGCAATAGATAATTGAAATACTTCTTGATACAGAGTATTAAGATTTTATCATAATAAATATTATTTTCTACCTTGTTGATGATTACTCGAAAATTAATTTAATACTACAATTTAAATCCTTGAAGATTCAGTGAATCGCATAAATGATAAGGGTGGTTACTCTATATGATACATCTTTAAAACTGAGTGTGTATCTAAATGCAAGTACTTTATTATTGTTATATTAATTATTTAAAATGCAAAATTAAATATTCAAAATGGAGACTGGAAAAGATTTGTGGGCATAGCTTTCAGATTTAATTTAATATTTAATGTTTCATTGTATATAAATTGTATTCTTATTTGAAGTACTTTAGCTCAGCAAACCTTATTTAAACTTTCACAGTTTTAATTTTTTCCTATTTTTTCACTGATAATTTGCTCCCATATTAAACTTACATAGCTCATATTAATTATTCAAATACTTGTGAATTATTTTGGAATGTGGTGACACATTTTATTTTGGTCTGATGCATTTTTAAGGATTTTATGCTCAATATCATTGTTTTTTTTTCTTTTTCAGATATAAAATGAACATCATTTAAAGAACCAGAGGATTTATAAACAAATCAGTCTAATATATCTTTCTGGAGGATCTTTAAATATTTGTGTGTTGGTAGCAATTCTACAAAGTTGTTTCTATACTGACTTGACCTGCACACCAGTGGAAGGGAAAAGTTATGGCATTTTTATTTCTGCTGACTCAAAAATAACAACCAATCATAAAAAATCTTGAGTTTAACCAGATTCATCCAATTAAAAAAAAAGTTTCTTTTCTGATACTTTGCAGTTAATTAAGCTACCAAAAAATACTGGGAAGCTGTATAAACTGCAAATACGGGATGCTGACGTATTTTGCAAGCATAATGAAGACTGCTTTCAAATATTGGATGTGGCTATCAATAAGATATCGTCTTTCACTATAAAAATATCGGAAGTCATGTCTCACTAAAGATATCAGAGATTATCAACCTGAATTTTCTAATAAACAAAGCTGTCAAACTTTCTGGAAGATATATGGGAATAATAACATCAATACAAATGACAAACATGTTGAAATTGTTTAATTCCTAAATTACTTATTAATTAAAAAAAAGCATGGAAATGAGCTTTTTATTTATTTACTATTTCTTTTCAAACACTGTTAATGGAACATTAATACTGAGTATCAATTTGCATGAGCCTCTTGACAGAAGTAACACTCTTATATGAATTAAATATTTGCTAATGACATAAGCTCACCAACCAAGCAAAGTACTTCAGACATTCATATAACATACAAATGTTAATAACATTCCAACCATCTCATGAAAACTTTGTCAGTCAAGAATGAACTTTCTGATACAGTAACTATTACTATAATAGCAGCATGAGGCTTAGATTCTGAAAAAAATAAAAATGGAAAAATAACATATAGCTTCAGTTCAAACAGTCCTTAATGTAAAACATTTCAAAACAAAAAAAAAACTAGAAATATATCTTACAATACAATGATATTGCACCAAGTCAAAAGATGCTATATAATTTATATGTAGATGCAAAATATGAAGGCAATTCCCTGAGTTCAATTGAAAAATTACCAATATTTTGATTAATGAGCAAAGCAATACATCAAAAAGAACTTTGTCTCTACTTCAAAAAAGAATACAGTTGATATTCCTGAAAATATTAAAGTTGGAAATTTTACACCCTATGATGAGTGCCAAAATGGAGAGATACACTGGTTTGTTAGGTTTCAATTGGCATCTTTTATTAGTTGTCATTGTGTTTGCCCAGTTTCATCAGCAACAACTACTCTGTTTTTAACTTTGACTATCAGCAACAAGACATCCCAAATGTTAAATGTTGTTGAGCTAGAAAGTGAAGAGAAGGTGCATCTTAATCTGGTCATTATTATTACAGTGATAGCAGTGACAATAGCTGTGTTCATAACAGCTTCATTATCAATCTGCATCATTTGATGTAATGGTCAGTCAAATGTGGCCTATACACAACAACTTGATCCTTCCCAGAACAGAGACAATTGATTGCACCTTCTTACTAAGGAAACTCTTGACCTCATCCTGCTCATCCTTTGATAATAGACAATACCTTAGCCAGAAATACTCCTATAACAGGAGATAATTTTTTAATGGACAGAAATCGGAAAGATCTGAGGCTCCTTTGCAGGTATGTAAGCATTTGTCATTTTATTTAATTCATTTTATGTAGTATATATTCTTATTCAAACTACTTTAGTACAGCAAACCTTATTTCAATATTTATATTTCTTCACTGATTATTCAATTTATACCTCATATTTCTTATTCAAATACTTGTGAATTATTTTGGAATTATGTTTTTATACTATATAAGTCTAATCATTAATATTTTTTTTTTATCTAGACACTATAATTCCAAGGATATTTATTAGTATTCTTTTTACTATCTTTTCATTAATGGTAACAATTATTTTAAAAGAAAATTGTCATCATCTAAACTGTTAAAAGAAATATCTTCAGATTTTCATAAAGTAAAAATGAGAATCCCTTTCTGTAAATCACAAATATTTTTAATCCCCATTTTCATGCTGACAAATTCTCAGACTGACTCACTATGCCAAACCATCAGAATATTGATCCTCATTTATTGACAAGTTAAAATACTACACATCTTTTTAAAAGTATTCATTTTTTCTTAAATCATTATAAAGGTTTACATTTATATCTATCTTTATTTTTGCCCTTTCATTTTTGCATGTTTTTGAGTTTTATTATTTAGAAGTAATTTAGAGCAAAGAAATTTTAAGTAATGTTATTAAAGATTTAGAAGTATCTTGTTAATAATGTTTATTTTCTTTCTTTTAGATTCTGTAATAAATTATTTATTTTTGCTTAACAGATTCACACTCAGAATCATACCTCCAGATTATTTTTCTTGGAGATCTGCTGTGATTCCTAATATTCAAGGGAGAAGATAACTGAATGGGGATTGGAGAGTGACACCAAGCATTATTCTGACAAAACAGGTAAATTATAGGAAAATACTTACTTTTCTTCTTTTTTTTATTTTTTTTTTTTTTTTTATAAAA